CCCAAATCAATTACATTTGATTACAGAACAAAAATTAAATCTGGACAAAATGATAATGTCCAAAGATAAACAAACCCAGGCAATGGACTTTCCGTAATTTTTAAAGCTAGTCTATGAATCAGTAAGAAGATCCATAGAGGACCAAACGCCCAGATGAAAATGAACAAACAGCAAACGCATGCACTTAACTGGAAAATAATGAAATTTTAATGCATGAACAATTTACCTCACTTGTAACTAAATAAATACATATTCTATGAATAGTGAGACAGGATGGCGTCCTGGTGGTTTAGTGGTTAAGTGCTAGGCTGCAATCTGCATGGTCAGCAGTTCAAAACCACCAGCAACTCTGTGAGAGAAACACTGGTCTCTCTACTCTGGTAAGCACTTATAGTCTCCGAACCCCGCAGGGGATCAATCACTACAAGTCAGCGTTCACTGGATGGCAGCAAGTGACAGTGGGTGAGCAACTGTTTCTCACCTAGCATCTTGGGAAGTCCTAATGTTTGGTATGTAGGTGCCAAGATGGCTTAACAGGTACTATCACGTAATATTGAAGTAAAATTGGTGCAAACAATTTGGAGACTACTTTGGTACACTCATCAACAATGAAAAATCCATCTCCCACTTCACCCAGTGGTTTTGCAGGTTGAACTTTTCTATGAGGATACATTCCTATGATGCACAAAGAGGAATATGCAATATATTCCTCTATATAACCTCCATAAAACGCCCATTTGGTGATGATAGAAATCACATTGTATTTTCGCTGCTTCAGGTCTCCTGTCGTACCAGGCAAGTCACAGGTGTTCAAAGTCCATCACTAAATGAAGGAATGAACAACATTCAAGGCAGAGCTGCCATTAATTGGTAGCAACCCTTATATGCCTAGGATGGGTTGGATAACTGTTAATGTACATAATTCACACAATAGAAAAATACACAGTTAACAAAAGGAATGAAACAGATCAGAATCTAGCTTTTTTTCATACATTATCATGCATGCTGATATAAAATAATCACCATGAAAAATCAGGTAAGAAAGGCAATGTGCAAAACACATGCACATGCTTATGTGAGGGTATACTATATTGAGAAAAATAAGAAATTGACAACTGCAACTGCCTTTGATTAAGTAGACAACTGACCACCTTACATTTGGGAGTGGAGAAATCCACCTTTCGGTTTCCTATGTTGCTTTATCTGGGTTCTTTGTATCACCAGTACATAACTTTTCCTAGTAAAAGTCGGTTAACAGCAACAAAGCTCCTACTGGACAGAGTTTGAGAAACGGGCTAGATGGGGTCCAATTGCGGAGTTCTTACTCTGCGGGCACGATGTGAGGCGCATCTTGTCCCAGCCTTTAAACTGGTTAATGTTCAATCCTTAGACAGTAAGTGATGCAGGCTCCTTACCGTTCTTTTCCACCGATGAGGGCAGCCACCAAAGGCCACCACAATCCGTTTCCAAACGTTCTCCCTACCTTTCTCAGGCAGTTGGAACACAATGCCAAACAAAGAACTGACCGGAACGCCTTCCTCCAGACTCGAGTCCAACTGAGTGGCTGTGTTATCTTCACACTTAAGAATTGCTCTTCAGTTCTGCTGGTAGTTTTATTATCCTCTCCAATTTAACAGCCACCTGCTCAGATGTGAGAAGCCTGGGCTTCCTGGTCTTTAACTGTTTACAGGATAGCTCTTCCTCCAAGGAGAGAAAAGCCCTTTCCTTCAAAAGCGACCCCTAGGCCCCTTCAGACAAGGTGAAAATTCCCACACGTACACTAAGTGGGTCACCCCTGTCCCCCAAAGTTCCGGCACTTTTCTAGGTTTCCGATTTCCAAGACACCGCCCCCCTCCCCCCCCAAAAAAAAAAATCGAAGAAGAAGAAAAAAAGATGAGAAAAGAAACCCAACAACTGGAAAGTCGGGGCGCAGGTGGCTGGGCGCACCTTCAGCCAGCGCGCACACCTGCAGAGCTGCGGGGCTGCGCGCCCCGGGGAGACAGGCTTACCCGCCAAGCCAGGTCCAGGTCGAAATCTCGGGCGCGGAGAAACCGCAGTAGGAAGGAGTCGGAGAGCGACGGCGGTGCGATCGCGATGCCGGCTTCCAGGGCTCGGTGCCGCAGGTCGGTCAGGGCCGGCTGCAGCCGCGGCGAATGGTCCGGCAGCGCGTTGAGTTGCTGGCCGGCCGAGAGTCCCGGCTGCTCCCCGGCCATGCCTGCTGCTCGGCCCGCAGCGCCGCGCGCGCTGGTTAAAAGAGCGCGCCCCGCGCCACCGCGCCAGCTCCTCCTTCGGTGGCGGCTGCCCAGCTCACATCCAGCCCCCCATCGGCCAGCTGGCCCGCAGGCCCCGAGGGGTGGCCGCCGAAACGGCTTCGGGGAATGAGCGGACCCAACCACCGGAGACCCTTAGCTTGCTCAGCCCCTCTCACTCTCAGAGTTAGGAAGAATCCTATACCGTTCTATGAGCTATCTTCTTAAAGGTGTTCCTAATGGCTCTAGTCTGAAACTTTTGGTAATCCCAGCTTTTACCCAGTGAAGCAAGTATTGTTTGATGCCAACAGGAAGGTGTAAAAAGAGGTTAGTTTGTCGATCCTGAATATAGTCAAGTAGGCTTAAAATATTTTTTTTCAGTATTAGTTGGCTGAAAAATGTTCCTTCCGTCATTATTTCCTTCTTCCCTCTCCTCCTTCCCTTCCTTCCTCCTTTCCTTTTATTTATTCATAACCTGGGAACTAGAAGGTGCTTCAACCAGGAAGTGTTTGGTAGCACTGTGACAGATGTGTGCAGTTCTGGTGGGCTAGTGGTTAAGCTTTGCCATGATCTGCATGGTCGACAGTTAAAAACCACAGGACTGGGCTTTTTACTCCCATGTATAGTTATTGTTTTGGAAACCCACAGGGGGTGGTTATTGATTCCATAGCATTGAGCATAACAGATGATCAACTGAACTCCCTCCTCTTTCTTCTAATGCTCTGAGCTGTTATACAATGACTACACACGTGTGTGCACACACACACAAACATTCCATAAAGGTAACACACATTCCATCATGATACTATTTCCACTCCTCCCTATTCAGGCAAATTCATTTCAGTTCTAGATACCTGGTCTCTACAAAATAAACGGCTAGTCAATATCAATTAAAACAAACAAAACAACACCAAAAACTTCCTCTGGGATACTTCAACACGGCTGAATTTTAAGATGGTGGTGGTGGTGGTGGTGGTGGTGG